GTGAAGGCTCCACTCCCAGTAACACAACCCAGGATTACGAGTGAATTGTGAGGGTGACGGGTGTGCCCACTCTGTTGATGCTGGCATTGTGGGCAGGTGCAATTTGCCAGCACTTGTGAAAGAACGCATGCTCTGGGAGACACACTGAATGCACTGTGCCTTGTGAGATGGACAGGAGCTTGGGGGACAAGGGGATAGTGTAGTTTAGATTTCTAATGTCCTGCAAAGATCCATACACTGAGGGCTTCACCCCCAACCTGCGCTCTGCTGGAGATGGTAGAGTCTTAGGAAGTGGGTTGTGTGGACGGAAGTTAGCCACCAGGAGCACACTCTTGAGGGGGCTATTGAGACCCTGCTCCTCCTTTTTTCTTTCTTTGCTTCCCAGAAGCTCTGAGGTGAGGAGTTTCCTGTGCCGCATACTTCCACCATGATGTGTTACCATGGCTGTGGGCCAATCTGCCATGCACTGAACCCCAAAGTCTGTGAGCCAAGATAAGATTTTCCTTTTTAAAAAGTTGATTATATAAAAGGGGGGCAGGGAGATGGCTCAGTGGAATAAGTGCTTCCTTGGCAAGTGCAAGGGTCTGAGTTCAATCCCCAGTTACACCAAAAAAAAAAAGTTAATTAAAAGGTACTTATATAGGATGCTACAAATAACCTATTTTCTACAATTTTACATGAGTAATTATGCATAGGGATTTTTGACTATGATGTTAATTCGTAGGCATTATGAATTAATTATATTTAAGTATAATTGAGAAATAACAAAGGAAGATTCATAAGAAATAAAATAAAAGTTGGTTATTTTATATATTCTGCTACAGCAAAAAAATCCTAATGTGCTTTTGTGGGGAGTGAACTCAGGGGCTTATGCATGGTAAGCACACTCTCTCCCACTGAGTTACACATTCAGCACCCCCCAAATCTATATATATGGCAAAGTTCCACTATGTATATCAAGCTGGGCTTGAACTTGCAGCCTCCAGAGTGCTGGAATTACAGGTGTGCACTGCCACACCTGACCTAAAAGTCTATGTTTAAAATATGTATAGTTTATTGTATGTCAATTGTACCCCCATAAAGCTGTGCAGAAAATCAGTGCCATAAGGACAAAGAGAAATTCTCTTGGCTTCAATGCCCCTGAGAAAGCTCAGGAAGTTGTAGTGACTAATTTGTAAATTTACTTTATTTTGTTTTATTTATTATTTATTTTGGCCAGCTCTGCCTACCCTGAGGGCAGAGTTGTTGTGGCATGTGGTGCTGGGGATTGAACTGTGGTCCCCTGCACCTGTCTAAGCTTGCCTAAGCAGATGCTTTAGACCACTGAGCTATCTTGCCAGCCCCATAAATTGACTTTGAACAGAGGTGAGGTTCCCCCCCCCCCCAAGAAAGTAATAGAAGCCCAATGTCAAGATCCAGGATGTATAAAAGGCACCATATCTAGATACTATTATTTTTTTTCTGAACATCATAATTGTAAAATGTCCTCACATTTGAGTGACTAGGTGACAGGATCTGGATCTAATTTACTTGTGCTCTTTAGCAGCCCAGTCCTTGCTAACTATCTTCAAATTCCTGCCAGAGAATGCAGTCCTGGCTTGAGACAGAAGCGTGTAGCTCATAACTGCCCATCTCCAGGGGTTTGGAGGTTTCTGCTAAAGATCCCATGTAAGCTCTCTGCACTCTATTTTGTTGGGATAGTTCATGACAAATGATCTCCTCAAGTAGAATTCACCCTCTATGACGTAGTTGTAATGGGCTCTGTGTGATCCTAGGTATGCTCAGGTCATTCTACTCCTCATCCTACACTGGAAAATTAAGGGAACACGGCACAAGAGTACGGAGTTGACCCTGAATCTGCTGTGATTTATAAATAAGCACTGACCTCTCACACACTGTGAGACTTTAGGATTACCAACAAGTTTTGAGCAAAGCACCTCACAGCTGATGGGGACAGAGCAGTGCTGTGAGCCATCAGCCAGAGACTGAAAGCTGTGTGGAAGATGGGGAAGCCCAGATCCTAGTTCGGAGCAGGAAACCTCAGTACCTATAGCTGGACCTATAGCTGCCTGTCCCCTTGATGCCACAGTGGGACCAGCAGGTTTGGCCCTTGAGGTTCACCTCTAGTGCTGGCCCCAGGATCTTGCCTGAGTGCTTCTACATCCTGTCCTTTGGCTGCAGGGACCTGCTATAGATGTGTGAGAGGCTGCCAGTGTGATGGGAGAATTTTGGAAACCATATTGTACAGGGCCCTGTTGGCAGAACAGAGAGCTTTTAATTTGGAGAAGGCGAATGAAGGGCAGTGGTGTTCAGATTCTTAAAGAACTGATCTGACCAGGCTTGTTTCATTGGGCAAAACTGAGGTGCAGGAGTATGCTTTGGGGGATACCAACTCAATCATAATAAAGAAGTTTATAACAACTAGGACCAACTACCAATCTAACTACTCATAGAAGCAGGGAAATCTTCATTTGTGGGAATTAGAAAATTCATGCTGAGAGAGGAACATGGAGCTTCTACATTTGCAGCTTCTTTTTTCTTTCTTCTTATTTATTTATTTTGTATTTAGTACAGGGTCTCACTATGTGGATTGTACTCGTAGTGATCCTCCTGTTTTCACCCTCCCGAGTGCTGGGGTTATAGGCGCACAGCACCACGCCCAGTCCCAGGCCATCTCAGCTTGCCCCTGGGGGCAGGGCCAGCACAGCATGCTAGGATGAACCCCAGCCACTACACTCTGCCTAAGCAGGTGCTTTAGTCTGCTGAGCTATCTGGCCGGCCCTACATCTGCAGTTTCTGAGGAGCTTTTCCTCTAGGCTTTAGAATTCTGTTGCTCTAAAAGCCCCTATTTTCTTAAACTTTTGATATCCTTGTTTAGACTTCCAGCCCCAAGCGGAGCTTACCTGTCCACTTCCTCCCAGAGAGCTGAGTGCTTCTCTGCACATCCCTGCGTGGTTTTCACCAGGGCTTTGCTGGGCTGTGGCTGGGATTTCTCTTCCCTGCATTGTGGGAACATGGAGGACACCAGATGTCACTCGCTCCGAGAGCCAGGCTACTTGTTGAAGTCATTTCCTATGCCACTGCCAGTGGCCTCTTCTGTCAATGACTGCTCACTGTGGGAGATGCAGGGCTGTCGGAAGGGAGCACCATGAGGCTGCAGCGTGGGATGGGAAGCCTCGTCTTCTCATCTCTTTCTTTCTTTCTTTCTTTCTTTCTTTCTTTCTTTCTTTCTTTCTTTCTTTCTTTCTTTCTTTCTTTCTTCCTTCCTTCCTTCCTTCCTTCCTTCCTTCCTTCCTTCTTTCTTTCTTTCTTTCTTTCTTTCTTTTGGTGGAAACGAGGATTGAACTCAGACCCTTGTGCTTGCCAGGGAAGTGCTTATTCTACTGAGCCATCTCCTGGCCCCTGTGTCCTTCTTTAGTCCTACCCTCTTTCTGAGCTGGATGAGACATCTGATGACATCCATCAGTAACCTTGGATGGGACACACAGTGTGTGCCTGTAGTGATAAAAGCCTGCTGTCCCCAGGGATCAAGGAACAAAAAACAGAGCCTCAGGAAACATGTTGTCCCTTATAATTCTGGCCACAGATAACAGCAGATTCCTGCAGGCGCCCTGTCTGCTCTTTGACCCTTCACCTGGGATGTCAAGGAATAGTGTTGTGGGAACCTAGAGTTTGGAGAATGCTCAAAGGCAGTATAGGCAGTGGTTTAATCTCACAAGTTAGCTATGCACATTCCTTAGCCTGCTTTTTTTTTTTTTTTCAAAGTTTTATTGACGAACAGATAGCAATGAGACAGTTTCAAATCATATCGGAAGGACAGTTTCAACAAATAATACACTGCATATATTCTTCTTAGTGGTTAATTGCTGTACAAGATGCGGACTTGTGATCCCATTTACAAACACCATTAGAACAAATCATTCTCCTTAGCCTGCTTTTAGCCCTCAATAAATGTGAAAAGTTTTGGTGGCTCAAGATTCAGAGAGAGACAGAGCTTGCGAGTCCTCTGTAGCTATTTTAATCCAGTCTTCTCATTTCTTTCGGCTCTGGCTGAAACAACACAGCATGCCCCCTCCCCTGACACATTCCCAGCGAGTGGCAGTGACAGTGCCTTCGCCGAGGGCCTCATGGAGAATTTCAGCCCACACCATCAGCCCTGAGGACTCCGGGGTTCCTCCATTGTCTATGCCAGCGTGTTTGGGACAGCCTGTGCTCCCTTGTCATGGCACCCAGCACCCTCAGAGATGACCACAGGTGCATAGCTTGCTTTATTGGAATCCTGTAGGTTCCCAGGACTCAGGTAGCTTGTGAATTTACAGTTGCTGAGTTGAACCAAGGGACCAATCAACAGAGGGCAATAGTGTTTCTCACTTCAGGGTGACTTAAACATATCTATGAAAGAACAAGTTATAACCTGAAGGGCACTTTGGGAGCTCAAGCTCCTTACTTTTTTTAAAAAAATCCTGACTTTGAAAAGTGAGAATCTAAAGTTTAAACACCACTGCACTCAGACCAGCCAGAGAATCTGAAGTTTAGAAAGGCCAGGGGCAGCCCGCTGAGCAGGTACCAGCACCCAGGTCTCCCAACAGCCAATAGTGTCCTTCCTGTTGTGGTTTGGCTGTGGCTTGAATGTTTGCCCAAGGTTCATGCAACAGATTTAATCTCTACTACGAGGAAGGAAGGGTGGGGGACAGCATGACTAATGTGGTCAGAGGTGGGGACTTCAGGAGATGTGTAGGATTTCAAATGGTCATCAGCATGGAGCCCCTGTAACGGACTCCTGATGGCTTTAGAAGAAGAGAAAGAAAACAGAGGAGACACACACAGATGTATGTGTTTGTCTGTTAACCTGTGATGTCCTGTGTCACCTTGGGGCACTGCCAGATGTGGACCTGAAGCTCGAGTCAAGAGAATTCTCTTTCTTAATAGTTCATCTAGAGGAGTAGTAAATGGCCTGAGACACCTACCACCGACCCCGTGCTCTCTCTCTGCCTTTCCAGCCTGGTGAACTTCGTATGCCACACCTGCTTCAAGAGGCAGGAGAAGCTCCATCGCTGCGGGCAGTGCAAGTTTGCCCACTACTGTGACCGCACCTGCCAGAAGGACGCCTGGCTGAACCACAAGCATGAGTGCTCCGCCATCAAGAGATACGGCAAGGTGCCCAACGAGAACGTCAGGTCAGAGCTGGGGCCCACAAGGGGTAGGGGAGTGTGGCAGTGGCTGCGACCGCATTCCCGAGGAAGCCAGGCTGAGTGCACACTGGGAAAGAGCCGAGACCAGATGGGCTCCCTTCAAGTGGGACAGGGAGGCCTGGGAGTGCAACCGTGATTCCCTGTGAGGTTCCCTGAGTGCTCAGCTCTTAAAAACTGATCTGCCAATGTTTAAAATTTTTACATTAAGAAAATTAGGGTTTCTTGTTCATCTTGGAAAAAAAGAAAAGGAAAGGAAAACTCCACCATGCCAAAAAGGGAAGATCTGACAAGGTGGTCTGGAGCTCAGTCTTATTTATTTATTTTAAGAATTGATTTTGAAAAAATAAGAATTAATTTTGGACAGGGTCTTGGTGTGTAGTACAGGCTGCCCTTAAAGTTGCTGTGTTCTCCTGTTTCAGCCTTCTGAGTGCTGGCATCACAGGCATGTACCACCATACCAGCCCTACTTGCCGAGACCCTGTACTTAGCCCTGTGTACTCTGCAGGGATGTTTGAGTTTGTGACACAGTGACCATTGCCAGAAATCTCAGAGCCTGAAGGTGGGCTCCAGTCCTGGAGGCTCAACCTATGGGAACCGAGCTAGTCTTGGGCCACAGCGAGGTGCTCCCAAAGCTGCAGCTGGCAGCAGAGGAGGTAGAGACGTGGCTGAGAGCACTCTCAAGCTGCTGGGAGGAGGGGAAGTTGAGGTTCCAAATGGAGGTCTGTATCCTGAGAGCCTTCAGGGCACTGCAGGGTGCAGGGACCCAGCCCCCTCCCCAGTCTGCTTCATTCTATCTCCTGACAACCTGCATACTCCTCAATGCCCAAAGTAAACGTTACCTCCTGAGACACGCTCTCAGCCCCCCACTTGCACAATCTCACTTACAGTTTCTTCTGATGTGGGGTTGAAATCTGTCACCAACTGGTCTCTGTCCTCTGAGCTTGGTGACCATTTCTCCAGGATTTAGTGGCAGCAGATCTGTCCTCTATCTACCCCATCCCAATCTCCTTTTTCTTGGTGACTCCGGTGGGGGACATCCTGATTCCCAGGCATCTGGGGACCTCCGTAGGGCATCAGAAATAACCCTGACCCCAATCAGATGAGAAGAGCCAGTGCTGTGTTTCTCTGAAGGGCCAGGATCTTCCCTGGGCCATCAGCTCCTCCCAGGCAGCTGGGCAGCGTGTGCTCAAGGGGTGGCAAGGAGACACCAAAGCGTCCCATTGTGGACTCGTGCTGTGAGAAAAGGACCATGTAGCAGGTTACATGGATGCCCTCAAGATGAAGCACACCTTTCTGTCACACTCAAAGTCCTGTGCTCCCCGCCCCAGGGACCCCTCCTGCCTCACTTCCCAGCCCCTCTACTTCTGCAGCACCTTCTCTGCTTCCTGCATAGCTCACACCCCCGGATGCCTCTAGGCCTCTGCTTAAGCTGTTCCTTCATCAGGATGGCTGTGTCTACTTTCTCCAAAATAAATAATCACTTTATCTTGGTACCTCTGAAGGTGTGGCGGAAAATTTCAGCTTCATTTTCTTGGCCATTGGATAGATTCAGAGAGGTCAAGAGACTTGCTCAGTACCACACAGTAAGACATGGAAGGAGTCAAACCCAAGTCTTCAGACACCTTCTCCAATGCTCTTCAGAACGCCACACTGTCAGGAGAGACCTCGGCTGCTGTATTCCTGGTGTCCCCAGACCCGGTGTTACCTGGCTCCTGCCTGACTCTCCAACCGCTTTGCTCTCCACTCTTGTTCCTGGGCTGCAGCCACTGGGCTCTTTGCCATTTCTCTGTGGTGCTAACGTCATTCCTTCCTCAGGGTCTCTATAATCGCCACCCTTTCGCCAGCCTCACAGAGCCAGCTCCTTCTGCCCACTCCAGTGCCAGCTCAAAAGTCCCTGCTTCATGACGCCCCCTGATGACTTCAGCTATCTCTCCCTCAGCCTCTCCCACCTCATCCCACTGTATTTTCTGTGTAGTACTTAACATGAGTGTGTGTGCCCTGGTCTCTGCTCCATAAGCAGCCTTGTGATAGAAGAAGATCCATCTGTCTAGCTCAAGGGTCTGATGCTGTGCCCAGCACGCATTAGGCACTCAGTGTTTGTTGAATGAATGAATGAATGAGTGAAGAGTAATGCTGCCCCTCTCCCCAGGCTGGCAGCGCGCATCATGTGGAGGGTGGAGAGAGAGGGCACCGGGCTCACGGAGGGCTGCCTGGTGTCGGTGGATGAACTGCAGAACCATGTGGAGCACTTTGGGGAGGAGGAGCAGAAGGAGCTGCGGGTGGACGTGGACACATTTCTGCAGTACTGGCCACCCCAGAGCCAGCAGTTCAGCATGCAGTACATCTCGCACATCTTCGGAGTGGTACGGCAGCTCCCCTCTTCCGGCGCCCCTCTGTACTCCCTACTCCCCATCCCCAGCCCCCATCCCCTTTTGGGAGGTGGGGCCTTCGCAGAGGCCAGGGACCTTTACTGCCCAGCGACTTCCTTTTCCGTGACAATTACATCTCACCCAAGTAGCCCCAAGTAACGTCAAGTAGCCAAGACTGATGAAGGCCGCCTCTGCCTATCAGTGGTAGCAGATCCACCTGTGCCCCTCACTTCTGAGCCGGTGGACATGACCCTAAATGACCCCATTAAAAAGTCTAGAGATCCTACTCTATCTGCATAAAGCACCTGGGGTGAGTGACACTCAATTGTCAGCTAAGAGATTCCCAGAAGCCCAGGCCAGAGCAGGAGGGGAGGCCAAGCTTAAAATAAAGGCCTCTCCACGTGCTCTCTTCCTGATCCTGCTATGCAGTTACTCCTGCTCTAGCTGAAATCAGTGCCATGGACCAAGTGTGTTACCTTGGAATGTGCATTAGGAGGGTAATCGGACTTCCCATTTATCTGCACTTTCTAAATGTTTTCCTCCATTCCATAGTGAAAACAAGGACTGGCTTCTCACCCTGTCCTTCCCTAAAATTACTTTTTTTATATTAATTTTATTGAGAAAGAAATAGCAATAAGAGAGTTTCAAAACAGGTTAGTAGGACATTTACAATAATTAATACATTGCATATTGTTGTCTTCATAGTAGCTATTCATAGTACAAGATACAGATATCTGAGAAGTTGGATTTCATTTTCTTAACATCTTCAACTGATTGGAGGATGCCCACCCAAATTGTGGAGGGCACTTGGGTTTGCTTAAAGTCTATCATTAAAACACTGATCTCATCCACCAGAAACACATAATAAGGCATCATGACCCTGCCATGCTGACATATAAATGTAATTGTCACATCTTCCAGTATTACATTATGCAACAGAAAGTAAAGTTCATGCTTTTAGCCTTCTGGTTGACTACATGGTCCTCTGGTGCCCATGGAAGGTCTAGAGGTGGTCTGCCTGGTGTAGGAGCTTTGACTCTTATTCGCCATGCTCTACAGCCTTGCGATGGGCTCCCCTGAGGGAGTCAGGAGAGGAGACGAGAGCTGTAGGCCACATAGCTACACATAAAGCTTAGAGCCATGAAGATCCTTAGAGTTCATCTAGTCCTCCTTATTCAGCCTACAGATGGGGAAACTGGAGCTCGGAGAAGATATGATTTGTTAAGGTAACACTGTGTTAGAGGCACTCACATGCATGCTATTATGCATTTGGTATAGGTCTGCTGAAAAGAAGTGGAGAAAGTGACCCTCCTTCATATCTATAAGAAATTGCCACAGGACCGCATAAATGCACATTATATTTGTTATGTACATGTATTTGTGTATGTGCTTTTGTATGAATTAGAAATTTTATGCAATTATTTTTGTGCAATTATGACTGTATCATAGGTTATATTTATTCTTCTGCACAATTGATGACCCAAGAACAGGTATGTGGAATCTGCTTCTATAAAGAACAACTTATTTTAAGGAAAAGAGAATTAATTGAATGCCATGTTTGTAAAATCAACTTGATTTGCCTTACATTTCACAGATAAGTATTAAATATGACACTCATCTGATTTTAACTTTTTTTTTTTTTAAAGTTAATTCTTTTTTTTTTTTTTTTAAAGAGCTCTATTTATTTATTTATTGTGTGTGTGTGTGTGTGTGTGTGTGTGTGTGTGTGTGTGTGGCCAGCTCAGCCCACCAGGGGGCGGGGCTGGCTGGCATGTGGAGCTGGGGGATTGAACCGCGGTCCCTGTGCTTTGCTTGGCTTAGTTTGTTCTAAGTAGGATTTAGAACACTTTAGACCACTGAGCCATCTCACCAGCCCCTGATTTTAACTTTTTAAAAATATATTTAGTACAGAGTCTACAGGGTCTTACTACACAGATTGAACTTGTAATGATCCTCCAGTTTTTAGCCTCCCAAGCACTGAGATGACCCAGTCTCAGTCATCATCTCAGCACGCCCTGGGGGTGGGGCTGGCACAGCACACCGGGGATTGAACTCTGGTCCCTGGGTCTGCCTAAGCAGGCACTTTAATCCACTGAGTCATGTGGCTGGCCCACTCATCTGATTTTAAAATTGTCAACAAGAAGTCTAGAACAATAGATCTGACACAAAACAATGCTAAAGTCAATTTTATATTTTGTGTGCAGCTGTAGGAATTGTGAATGGAAAGGCAAAGGAAGGAGGGAGAGACAAGCAGAGTTCTGTCTGTCTGTCTGTCACTGTCTCTCTCTCACATACAGAGAGAGAGAGAGAGAGAGAGAGAGAGAGAGAGAGAGAGAGAGAGAGAGAAAGAGCAATGTAGGGAGAGGAGAAAAACATCAAGACAGATACTGCAGAGGACTCACATGAGACTGAGACACAGCAAAAGGGATCCACATCTCCATCTTTGGCCTTTGGGGGTGGAGCCCCTCAGAGCTTTCAGTTGGTGGTACATTTTTGCAAACATGGAAATCCTGGGCACTCTCATCTGTGGGTGTCATTTGGAGCTACCCAGAAAACAGAAGACTGTTTCCAGACTCTCTAGGCAGAGCCCATTTTAAAAGTACTTTCAGCACAAGGATCGAGTTCTGTCTTCTGTCTCTGCCAGTCACCTGACCCTCATTTTTTCCTTTGGGTAGATCAACTGCAATGGTTTCACACTCAGTGACCAAAGAGGCCTGCAGGCAGTGGGTGTGGGCATCTTTCCCAACCTGGGCTTGGTGAACCATGACTGTTGGCCCAACTGCACTGTCATCTTCAACAATGGCAAGTGAGTATGCCTTTAATTAGTGTGTGAGATGGGTGTGGGGAGACTCCGTGATCTTTTTTCTACCATAGATTTCCAATGTGGAGAGTTGGAATCTTTGCATAGAAAGATATCAAGGTGGATAACAAAAGATTCCACATGGGCTTTTACACATAACTTAAGACTGGTAGATAAATCATTAAACTTGAAGCCCTGCAGCTAGTATTTGGAGGGATAGAAGGAGAACAGCTGTAATTAGTGCCACTGTATCTCAAATTCATAACAGAACAATGACTGAAACATGGCTTAGAAGGAGCATATACTACCTAAGGTATCATCAAGAATTAGAATGCACATTGAAAGGAGTTACCCAAAGAGAATTTAGTGAAGGAACAATTTACAAAGAATAGGAAGCTAGTACCACCTCTAGCCTTGAAGGGACACATAGGGGAACACTTTCCTCGTGGTCAGTGGGAGCCTGAGCTATGAAGAGTTGCCTCCTTGGCTGTGGATTACAGCTGTACCTGTAGACAAACCAACCACTGGTGGAACCATGGTTCAAATGTTCCAACCTGTCTCTCCTCTAAGCTTTTTGTTTCCTCCCCTTGGCCAGTCCCCAACCAGAGGTCAGACAGCAAAGAAACCAGGGTGATGCATCCTGCACAACCCAGCCTTATGCTCCAGAAAGGGACAGATCTGGGACATAAGGGTAGAAACCTTGTCTCAGTGGTGCAACACACATGGAGAAAGAATCAGCAGATGAGCTGAGTTGGCCATGCCACAAGTTGGGTCGATGGGATTGTGGGGTGGGAATGAGGCCAGAACAAGATTAATTGCTTTTGCTCTTAAGGATGAGCTCTCTTAGAAGATGCAAGCTGACACCGAGTCATCAACAGTGGGCAGAGTTCTCCCTAAAAACTTTCTAGAAGCTGAGGTAATGGCTTCTTATCCTCAGCTGAGAATGCAGCCTAAGCCTCAACATAATAGGAACTCTGGTTTCATTTTATATTCCTACTTCTCTTCTCTTCTCTTCTCTTCTCTTCTCTCTTCTCTCTTCTCTCTTCTCTCTTCTCTCTTCTCTCTTCTCTCTTCTCTCTTCTCTCTTCTCTCTTCTCTCTTCTCTCTT